ATGATCCTTGTTGAAATTTCAAAAGTTAAACACTTTTGGGATCAGTTTATAGCCTATTTTATTGGTCAGTATGTTACAGTTCATTTTCTCCGAAAGTATTTGATGCGGAATGTTAAAATTTGTCAACATTGAAAATTTTGTTTTGGGATGTAAATTGTATTTTAAATCCGTACCTGAGAAGCATAACACTGTAACTCCATTTTTTAGAGCTAAGATAAGACAGCTACCCACTACGAAGTATTTTATTGTAAGTACGGAGTTACAGTGTTAATGCTCAATTTTAGTACAGATACAGTATAATATTATAAGATAACGAAAACAAATACCAGTATATAGACCACGATTCGCCAGTGCCTGATCAAGGAATACACCGCGAAATTCCCGAATTGAAGTTAGATAGTCTCGCTACCTTTACACAAATTCAAGAAAAATTTCTGTTTAAATATGAAAAAGTTCCTGTGTCAATCCCATAAGTGGGTTCTGTTAACAATATATCGAACAGCTTGTTACAAATTGGCCATGAATCACCTCGGCAAACATCTCCATGTCAAAGCTACAAAGTAGGTTCTCATTGAAGTGATGTTAGTCTGTTTGCACAGCGAGTGCTATTTCTATCTACTGACCCGACAGATAGGGAGTTCCGGAGAGGCTACGGGCGCTTCGGTAAAACCACGGGTACGGTGGGCATCAGGGCCAAGCCCTCCGCCAGTGATACGCCTTCACGGGCGTCTCTGGTGGACCGGGACTTAGGTATGGACTCGCCGAGGTTTGTGGTTAGCTGCAGGGATGAACACGTTCGTCTGCCCGGTAACATTTGCGGGCGTTTGTCCCGCACGCAGCTATCGCGTTTTAGTGGCGGTGTAACGTGAGTAGCACTTAAAGTCGCCAGCTATGTGCAGTCACTGTCGCAAGACACTACGACCAGCATCTTCGGTACTAGCCCGGAGAGCCAATAAAGAATAAGCTAGACATCCTTCGATCCCTTCAGATGCGTAGGTTTATGGGAACTGCAGAGACGTTTCGGCGTCGAGGAATGAGAGTGCCTACAGCTCCGCTACTAAAGAAAAGATTTGGTAGTTGATTTGAGTCGACAGTTTAACGGTGGCAACCGTTAGTTACGCATTGCGCAACTAAGTGAGCGTGCCTACAGCTTCGGTACTTATCTGAGACTATTTTCCAGAGGGTGCTGTACGTGTACCCGGGGCAGCTCACCCAAGGCACTAACCTTTTGAGAACCGGATGAAGTCCGTGCAAACGTGCTGATCTGGGGCCAAGACCTGACTGAGAAGGTCCCTGTGCGGGCTTGCTCGCACAGGTTATAGTGCCCTTCCCGTATAACCAAGAGGTTGATATGGAGGCTCACTGTATGTATGTAGAAAGATATGGGGGCTGTCTGCACAGCTAGACAAGAACAATGAACTGGCAAAGAATTGTCAGAGATCTGGGTAAAATAGCCCTCAATTATTTGATAATGAAAATTTCGTTGACATTCCCGCTGATACTTATGCTACAGACAATATCAATTCCAATTTTGACTGGACGCCTCCTGAACCAAAACTTCACAAGGGATAGATCACTTTACATAGTACACGTACGTGACTCCGAAATATCAGTAATTATTGTAGTATTTTCATGAGAAAATTATAAAAAAAAGTAATTTCGAACATAAATAGAAACTTCTTCATAAATTTTGTAGCAACAAAAACAAAAAAACTTGTTTTTTTAACTAATGTGACCTTTGTCGGTATCAGTCATTCCATCACACTGTCGGTACCTACAATGGTTTTGTATTTTAATTCTCATTGTAGGTAACGACTGTGTGATGGAGTGACTGATACTGACAAAGGTTACTTTAGTTAAAATAACAATAATGACAACAATTTTCATGTAGTATTTCTTTTCATTTATAAGAGGTGTCACATTATATTATGGTAACTTTTTTCTATTTGATTTTTGTTTCAAAGCAGAACACGGTATGTCAACTAGTTTTTTGTTTTATTGTTATAAATATCGCTAAAAGTAAGACATTGATCTCATTATGTAAACAGCCTTGATTTCTAATTACCAAAATTTGAATATTAGAACATACTGTTAGTAAAAATTTATCAATTTTATATTTATGGCATCCTAAACGTTATACACACAGCATTTTGACACAAAATCGCTTCTCCTATAAAATTACAAAAATGGCGGTTACAGTGTAATGCTTTTCAGGTACGGAAGTATAATTAAGCTGAATGTCAAATAAAAGCTTCTAGAAGGTCAACTTCAAACATATATATCATTCATACATAATATACATAATATGTACGTATATGTGAAGAAACATAACGTTCCATTATTAATTTATTGTTTTCTATTTTATGATACCAACTGACGACGGGGCGAACCATGGGGCGAACAAGTCATCTGGCTAAGCGATCCATCTGTCCATAACAGTAGCAGTGCCGTTTAGAGCTTTAAATCGCAAAGATCTGAAGGGCACAGCCATTGTCTGTCACCAAGGGTCAAAAGATCATAAAAAAAATTATAGGTAGCCCTGGGTTCGATTTCCTGTAGGACCAATTTGGAAAATTAACTTTTCTAAATTGCTTCTGGTCTGATTGTTCTAGATAGTGACCTGGAAGGAATTCCGTTATTCAGGTATTCATAGTACCTATCTACAAGGGACTTCCTAGTTTGAGACCAGGTTTTTGGTGTGGTTATCTGACACAATATAAATGTTTAGTAGCATTACTTGTCGCTTGCAGTGAAGGAAACATATAGTATTACATATACACTGTACGATAAATCATGTAGTTGAACATATCATTATGTTTTTTTATTTCATCGAAAGAAAAAGTTAGGTGCACCACAGTCCATCGTCAAGTTCGAATCCCAACAACCTTACGCGCAGATTTCTAATGAGAAAGAAAGCCTTTCCGAGCTAGTGAGGTGATAAATATATTTTTTAATTTATTTAAAATGAAGATCAATAGCTTAGAACTCAATTAAATAATAATAGTAACAACTGAGACCCAATTAAAGATCCTCACAAATAGGACTCTGGGTGCACAATTTTCCTAACTTACTATATAAAACATAAAGAAAACGTAGCAGTTGTAAGTCTCACTAAGAGTCAAAGAAGTGCTCACACAGCGGTCTCATTGCCGATATCATAAAGATCCAGATCAAAAGTATTGCATAATATGGGCCAGGGATAGAAACAAAGGTGAATTGTTTCTAAGATAATTAGAGGAAACTCTCAGCGATAGGTAATTGTCATGGCAATTCCAGACAGTCGATTGAGCCTGATGCTATTTTTATTAAAATCTTTCGTAAGTAAATTCATGACATATCACAGAACTACATTGACAATGATTTATGATAGCAATCAAGTTACATGATTAACCAAATTATCACGTGCAGTTGCAAAATCATGCCATTTATCATAATTTACATGCAGCTCCAGACCACGTGAAACTAATTAGCGAATAATTTCCATGAAGTTGAAAATGGCGGTATAAACTTTGTTTCTGTTACTGCATTTTGAAATTTAACGTTTGAATAAGTAATATATTAAGTTTTGAACTAGCTGTTTCCTGCGACTTCGTCCGCGCATTATTTTTACACGCATTATGTACTACTAAAATACAATTCAAAAATATTCAAGATTAAATTTGAAAGTAAAGCCTGCAATACATGTTGGTCGAGCCCGAAATTCAGAGGTGCTAGCCCGGGGATTCGAACCCGCGGCCTCTGTTTGAGAGACGATAGGTCAAACAATTAGGCTACCAGAGCTTGATGTCCTAATGTACGTAAAAGGCATCTCCAAAGTTTTTCACTTACGTCGACCTTCTGCTGCCTCCAACCCTTTATTTTAGCCATGTATTTATTTTTATGTCGTATACCTTTTTGTTGGGTAAGGTTACATTGAAGAATAATATGGGCTTTCTTCTTATACTCGGAAAATGTAATTTGAAATTGTAAAGTGGTTGCTGGGTAAAAATCAAATTAAAATAAAAATCAAAAAACACGCGCAAAAAATGTAATTTATATGTAATTTCACCAACTTTTGGACTCGGTTTTTATTTATAAAAATGTTATTATCTATTGGTCACGGCGGACACAAACAAATACAGGTAACTATAACTATAGCGAAAAATTGGGTGGTTTGAATAAATATTAAACTAAAATAAAAACGAAAATGACTATACTAAATTAGTCTTTGGTACTTACTTTGAGTCAGAACTATAGATGCAATATGAATTGTCGATATGAAAAGTTCGAATTTTTTTAAATTTCTTTTTCGGTTTCGAATTCTTAGGTTTTCGCGATTGTTATACGAGGGGCGTTCAATGTATTCTCGGTATAGGTATGATATAATAGGCAAAAAATTCTAAATAAACTTTATTTTTCAATATTGTCTCCCATAACCTCAATACACTTATTTGATCGGGCAAATAACTTTTCGATGCCCTCGAAAAAATATTTTTCCTCTTTGCCTGAAAAATGTTCATTAATTGCCTCCTTCAACTCTTCATCGTCGGAAAAATGCTTACCCCGAAGATCTTTCTTTAGGTTTAGGAACAAAAAGTAATCACTGGGGGCCAGGTCAAGGCTGTAGGGTAGATGAGTGATTTCTTCAAATCCACTCCCTCACAGCAGCCTTGGCAACGCGCCCTGTGTGAACAGAACAGAAAAGAAGCAAGACACCAGCGGTCAATTTTCCAGGTCTTTTTTCCTTTATAGTGTCCTTCAAATTGCGTAGGCTGTTTGCGTAAGCTGCGGCAGTAATACTTTGATCCATTTTTGTGTATTCGATCAGTAAAATTCCCTTAAAATCCCAAAACACTGTGGCCATGAGTTTTCCGGCGTATGGGCAGACTTTAAACTTCTTCGGTGGGTCTGTTCCTTTTTTATGCCACTGCATGGACTCTTGCTTACTCTCAGGATCATAGTGATGAACCCACGTTTCATCACCGGTGACAATGCGTTCAAAAATTTCACTCGCATTTTCGCTACAGAGCTCCAAAAACCGTTGAGTGCAGTAAGGCACTCAACTCGAACTTGTTTCTGAAGCGCGTGAGCATTCGCGGCACGCATCTTGCACTGACTTTTGAAAGATTCAGGTGTTCATGAAGGATAGTGTGAATGGTACCCACGGATAGCTTAGTCTTTTCTGCTAATGTTTTCACTCTGATACGGGCATCTTCCAATACAAGTTTCTCGACAATTTTGACGTTTTCTTCAGAAGTGGCACTTACCGGCCCTCCAGCATGGGTGTCGTCTTCAATACTCTCTCTACCACGTTTAAATTCACTAGACCACTTCTGAATAGTAGATAATGAAGGAACAGAATCTTGATAAACAGCCACCATTTCTTCATGAATAACTTTTTGAATCTTTCCTTGTTTTGTAAGGAATTTAATCACTGCGCGGTGCTCGATTTTCGTCAACATTGTGGCGTCTGTCATTGTAGTTGTCTTCACGTATTGATAACTTGAATACTAATGATGACAATTACATCAAATTTTATATTTATACCCTTAAAGAGTGTCTTTAACTAATGAGGTAATTAATTTACTCTTATCATTAGTTAATCACCCCGATACCGAGAATACATTGAACGCCCTGGTACATAGGAGATAAATAAATATAAATACAAGTGTAAGACAACATCATACGTTGCTCTGATCCCAAAGTAAGTAACAAACGCACTTGTGTTATGGAAATCGGAAATAACTACAATATCGAAGTTGATCGCACAGAAATGCTTTTTGTTTGTGATATCGTCCATACCGAGCGTTGTAGTGGCCATCGCTTAAAACGTCGAACGTCGAATCGAACAAAAATACGTGATTTATTTTCATAGTAAAATTACAGGCGCATGGGACTTGTCAACTTGTTTCAGGGTGACGGGCGTAGTGGCAGTACCCTTCAGATCTTTGCGATTTAAAGCTCTGAGTGGCACTGCAGTTGTTATAAACAAGCATGTAGCTTACCACCAGGCATCAGGCAGGCACGACTTGTTCGTCCCGTCATTTGATATTATAAAAAAAATCCTATGTTTGAAGTTGTTGATTGCTATTAGAATGCAATAGAGAAATTAGAATGCTTGCTAATTTTTAATAATTATCTTCCAGATGTACATGTCAGTCTGTATCGCTTTCGCTGTTATTTATACTTTTTCCTAAAAAGCTATTCTTTTGGCTCTAAACTTGTTACAAAATTAATTAGATACGTATAAAAAAGACTGTCATGTCATCAATGAAGCTGAACAAAGTGATAGTATTCCTAACTCTAATTATAATTTTAAAGTTTTATCTGTGAATATTAGAAGTATTAGGAAAAATATTGATAATTAAATGGTTGCTCTGAAATGATTACATGTTCAATACGATGTGATTTGCCTGACCGAATATAGACTCAATGAGAACACTGTTATCCCTTCAAATACCTGGATTTAGTTAGTACAAAACTTTGAACCTCATTAACCAAAATAGTGGTGTTGTTGTGTATGTGAAAGATTCTTGGAATGCTGTTGTAACCGAACCAGATTTTGTGGAGGCAGACTGTCTTTTGGTGGATATCCCCAACGTGATTACGATACTTGCCATATACCGCTCTCCTTAATTTGAAAATATTGACCCATTTCTACTTTCCCTTGAGTCACATCTCAAGCAACTTAACAATAAAAAGCATCTACTACTGACAGGCGGCATAAATATTAATATCGCCACAAATAGTGGGCATGGTGCTTGCGCTGAATATCTTTGCCTTAATGCTGAGTTTGGGTCATTGCCCGCTATAACTCTGACCACTAGATGGACCTCTGTTCTTGACCACGTCCTTATAAGACAAACTTTCCGGTAGTAGCTGCCGTATGTAAAATGGATCTTACAGATCATGATTTGATCATGTTGGGCTTAAATCTTACTCACATAAGTTCTCGACGCCCAGCAGGCTGACAACAAGATATTGAAGCTATAAAAGAAGATGTATCGATGATTGATTGGGCTAATGTTTTTTACAACCTAAATGTTAATGAGGCTGCGATTGCTTTTACTTCCAGTTTGTCAAAAATAATAGAGAAGCATACATTTGAAGCTAATGTGAGTCGCTCAAAATAAAACCTAAAACCTTGGGTAACATCCGGTTTAATGAGATGCATGCGCCACCGAGATCGTTTAAAGGCCAAGTCGAATGATCCAGTAATTAATCTTATATATACCCGTTACCGAATTTTTTATGTAGATCTCATGCGAAAAATTAAAAACGAATACGAAAAAAAACTGCAAGAGAGCAAATGTAATATTAAACGACTTTGGAGAACCATAAAGTCAATTTGCCATTTGACTACGAAGAACAATGAATCGACAGACCTTCTATCTATTTCGAGTAGTTTGGACATGAAACATTCTCTTAAAAGTAATAATTATTTTGCCACGGTTGGTCTAAACCTGGCAGATAATATTCTCTCTTCACTAAATGAAGACCAGAAACACCTTGCCGCTGCTATGCCTATGGGAAAGTCACCCAGTAATTCTTTTTTCATGCAACCAAGCTCTGATAAAACTATTACACAATGACAAGGCTTCAGGAATGGATGCCTTTAGTAATATTTTAATCAAAACTATCCAAAGCTCGATAGTTCAGCCTCTAACTGCAATTTACAACATGAGCCTGTCATCTGGTATCTTCCCGGAAGACGGTTATAGTTTGTTCAATATATAAACATGGCCCCAAAAATGTGCCTGACAATTATTGTCCAATATCTCTTCTTGGATTATTTTCGAAGTTATTGGAGAAAATTGTCAATAAAAGACTTTCAAGTTACATGGAGTCTAACAAACTTCTGTCTTATAGGCAATATGGTTTTCGGCATTGTCGTTCCACTGAAGATGCAGTGTCCCTGTTGACTTCTGTGGTAGCGTTTCATTTGGACAGTTCACGTCGCTGCATCGGCGTGTTCTTAGATTCAACCAAGGCCTTTGATACCGTCTCTGTCCCAATACTTTTGAGGAAGTTGGAGGGCTGCGGGATCAGAGGAACGGCTTTTGAATGGTTCGAGAGTTATTTGTCTGATCGCAAGCAATGTCTGAGGGTTGGCCAACATGTGAGCGACATTCGTGGCATTGGCTTCGGCGTCCCACAAGGAAGCGTACTGAGACCTACGTTGTTCGCAAAGCTACGTTGTGAACAAAACTACGTTAACGTTATCCATCAATCGTAAAATAAATATCTTGTGGGTAGAAATAAAATCACGCCTTACGGCTCATGACTCGCGACTCCCGAGGCTATAATGCGCCAGTTGTTTTAGTCGTTTCAGTCCTATAAGTCTTTTAAGCTTCCTAAGGTTAAAAGACTGTGACTCGAAATAGTCTTCAGTTTAGTCTTGACTCAAGGCTTGGAGGTTAAAAGACTAGACTAGTCGTGAGTTGTTAAAAATTAGTCGAGGTTGTTTAAAAGGCCTTAAAAGACTGAGTTTCTTTCATCGCTAAATACAATGAATAACAAATTCATGTTTTATCTTATCACCTTACATTGTATGACCTAAACCTTCAATTATGACGTTATACATACTCAATGCCATAATTAATTTCGTTAGTTATGTTTTTGTAAATACGACCACTTATAATACTTAAGTACCTTGTTTTCTTAGAATTACTTTTTTCCTGTATCTAAATATCATGCTCTGTCGTACGTCATTCAATAATTTACATACATACTACCGCCACGCCTGTCTCCCATAGGGGTAGGCAGAGCTTTGAGTAAGACAAGCCCACTTTAGGAAACATTTTTATTAAAATTTTAGTATAACTTAGTACACTAAATAGTTAGGTTGCCAGCATATCGCCTACATATAGGACACCGTTAAACGGAGGTTCTCAGTCGGCTCTTACGATTTGCGCAGAATCATAAGCAGTTGCTACATTCTATGCTTTTCTTTTGCTTCCAGATGAAAATTCAAGATCAAAATTCAACATTCAAGATCAAGAGTCGATTTCTTTACTTTGGTACTTAATAGTTTTCAGGTTAGGAGGCTTTGGGAGAGGTAAACAAGTACAAGATTAAATGAGGTACAGACCCACAAAGTAGAATAATACGCTTGTTACGAGTGTTAGAGTGTAGTGTAGTAGAGTGAGGTGAGTGGTGTAGTGTGTAGATGTAAGTAATAATCTCAGTACAGAGTACTAAAAAAACCTACCTCAAACGTGGAATTACATCTATTTGCCAAGTTTTATTGAAATCGGTTACCGGACACCGGATTCATCCCCTAGTTTGCTACCCTTAGAGGTGGAACACTTTCTTCAATTTTAAATGGGACCACTACTGGGGACTACCGTTTTTCCAACAAAAAATAATCATCAAAATCGATTCACAAATGCATGAGGTGAAAATGATAAGAGACATGTGTTTCACACTACATACGAGTAGGTACCAGAGAAGACAAAAAACAGGCACTTACATGAATTTACAGTGACAGTTGCCTATAGCGTGACCGTATAATATTTCGTACCCTCGGTAAAACAAAGATCATACGTCAAAAAACTTTTTAACACTTGAAAGTATAGGGAAATGAACTTTTCTAAAATGGTTTTGGCCTAGGTGTTCTGGAAAGTGTCACTGTGTGAGTTCCGTAGCTCTTGATCCTGGGTTTGATTTCCGGTAGAACCAGTTTTTGAAATGAAATTTTCTAAAATGG